ATAGTATTGCGAGTGTGGATACATTCCAGGAGACTCAGGAGAAAAATGCTAGGTGAAATAATATAATGGTTTTCAATGTGGTCAAGAGCCAGTCCAGTGAAGTAGAGGAGAGGGTGAATTAATGATAAAGCCCAGATTCAATATTATATTATCGGCATTTACTACAAATATACAGGGTGGTCCGAACTGTATTCCGGAAACTTCAGCAGCATATTCTGCAGATAAAAATAAGTCAAAAAGTTCGTATAAATGTATGTCCTAAAATGCTTAGTTTCGGAGATACAGGGTGTAGAAGTTTCATTTTTATTTCGATTTTTTCCTAACAATTTATGAATTAATGTCAATATTTGCATGAAAATGGTGCATGGGAGTTTTTTGTGAAACGAAATTTGATTTTTATGTCAATATGACTTCTACTTGTAGAGAGCACCTTCTACATATTTTTTAACTGGTTTGAAGATTAATCAGTTTTCATCCGTACCTGTATAAAACTACTGAGTAAAAAAATATACATTTAAGACATTTTTTACGTATAGAATGTCTCTTGGTAAAAATCGCTGCGAATAATGGTTCTCGAGATATTTAGACTTAAAATTGTCAATACCTGTCATTATGTCATCATTGACATAAATAAAACATGTTGACTAAATTGCTATTAGACTGAAATCATAAATTTGAAATGTTTTTGTGCCAAAAGTTCAACAGAAACTGTTTTATCATCATTTTATCGAAAAAAAAAATATGATTAATTTAAAAAAAAACAAAAAGTTCCTAAATTTATCATTTCAGCACAGATAACACATAAATCTAATTATGTGTTATCTGTGATTTCAGTCAAATAACTATCTGTTTATCTTTTGTCAATAATGACATGTTTTAACGATTTCCATTCTAAATATCTTGAGAACGGTTGCTCGTAGCGGTTTTTGCTAAGAGACATTTTTTACGTAGAAAGTTACAGAAATGTACATTTTATTACTCAGTAGTCTTATACAGGTACGGACGAAAAGTTATTACTCTTCAAAATAGTTAAAACACGTCTAGGTGGCGCCCCCTACAAATAAGAGTCATATTGACATCAAAATCAAAAATCAAATTTTTCATGCCACAAAACTCCCAGACACCAATTTTCACCCAAATATTGACGTTATTTCATAAATTATTACGAAAAAATCGAAATAAAAATGAAACTTCTATACCCTGTATCTCCGAAACTAAGCATTTTAGGACATACATTTATAAGAACTTTTTGACTTACTTTTATCTGCAGAATATGCTGCCGAAGTTTCCGGAATACAGTTAGGACCACCCTGTATAGTGATAATCAAGCGAATGCAACCATTAACTCCTACAAAATTGGTTCAATGGTATTATAGGAATTGTTGATGCAACTCACATTTTGCTACATTTACTCATTTCTTCGCTACAAATCGAGCTACAAATATTAGTTAGCGTCAAGAGAAAACTCAGAAATTTTGCATTTGAATTGTACGAGGTTACTCTCTGCAATATGTATTGGTTAAGAGCGTATTGTAGTAATTATTACTACAAAAGTATGTTTATTACAATTTAGTATTTTAATTGCATTTTTACTACAATGGAACGGAAATATTGCCGACATGCAGATTACATTTTACTACAATCTTTGAGGAATGCTTAGTTGATATGCAGTTTATGACCCTAAATACTTCCATATTAAAACATTCTACAAAACTATGAACTGCTTCTGCGCTTCTGCAACTTTTTAACTACAAAAAATAGTAAATATTGTTACTACTTGTATTTGGCCCATATACCACTACATTCTGCAACAAAGGGTTTTACAATTGTAGCATTTTTTCCGAGCATATTTACAACATTTTTTCCGAGTAGTCTTCGGTATTATCACTTTCTGACAACATGTTGGCTTTTTTGCCACAGAAATTCGAAGGAAGAACTAGAAATTCAATATTGATTGATATTGACCAAAGTTAGAGAGACTACATTTTACATTTCAATAGAGCACGGATAAAAAAGATATTATGCAAATATCAAAATGATAATCTGCGGTTTAAAAATACGAAAAGCCCGACCTGGGCCAAAAGTCTCGACGAAACTTTTTATTAAAAGTGGGTGAAAGTTCAGATAGAGAAAGAAAGAGAACGGGAGATGAATGGGGAGGATATAAATTCGTGAGAGACTGCATTTATGAATGGAAGCGAAAGGAAAACGAGAAGAGAAAGAAGGAACCAAGCACAAACGTAGGGTGGCCGAGAGAGATGCAACATCTATAACGAGAAAATATATATGTATGTGGCGGTGCGAGTGAGACTGTGTGTGTGTTTCGAGTAATATGTAGTATAAAACGTTTCAACAGGTTGCACTTCGTAAACAGATCACGTTTGTCGGTCTTTTTATTACGCTTAATTCCGTTAAATATCCCAGTGTTTTTAATTTTTTACTTTGAGAATTAATCAAATTAGGGGTTTTTGATTTCGGAAAATACTCTACTTCTTTCGAAAACAACTATACCTAAAAAAGTTAATAAAATTAATTTATGATTATGTTATGTATTATTATTATGATTTACTGTTCGTATTCTCTTTACATTTATTTATTTTCACATCTAATTGCCTGTAATTTGAGACTTGTTTGGTTAATTTTAAATTATTAACATCTATACAATAATCTTAATGAAAAGTATGTTGAGTAACACAAGATTTATTGGCTCTACCATATCTTATATCATGATCTTATATAGTACTAGCGATTGTTCTTTAAATTTAATTAAAACTGATTTTCTAGTTTGCCCCAACATATTTTTTATTACAATCTTTACATGAAATCTCATAAATATCCAACCATTCCAGTAGTGGTGTTTTATCTTTAGGATTATCCGATCGTTCTTGTAATATATCATTAGTAGTGATGGGATAGAATTTTTTAGAATTTAGAATTATTATTATTAAATTATTGAAATAACCAATATCGCTCGATTATGAACCAGCGATGCAAGTGACGAGTTACGAGCGACGAACGCAAGCGATCCTAGAATGAAATAAATTGAAATCCGATTTTAATGTGACATACTCGATAAAAAGCCGGGCGAATTTTCTATATACATACATTGCAGGTATATAGGAAATTTATACGACGTTATCCATTGCGTATCGGAGAGACAAAATTTTACGACTTACATCCACAATGCATTGAAATAAACTAAATCAAGCGATCAAGCGAATTGCTCGTCACTTGCTACTTGCCATTCATCGCCGAAAGAATATTATGTGCTCTGCGCACGCAACTTACTGCTTGGCGTTACGAGTATAACAAGCGACGGAAAAAAACCGTATTTTTAAATACGAGCGATCTCTCGATTATTGAAATCGCTTGGAACTCGAGTACTCGATTATTGAAATTAATCGGTTTTTCACACCACGACAGTCTCAAAAATTCTTTTTAAACCACGGGATTAACCTCTATCAAAAGGTCTTGTTATTTTATCAACTAATGAAAAAGAATATTCATTACACTCAGCCACACAGAAGTTTGGGTTATAACGAGAGTCGAAAATACAAGTCATTAGAAAACTAAAAATAATCGATTTGATATTATCTGCCTTTATAGAATAATTGAAATTTATGAATTATTGCTAGTCAAACTTCTTTAATATTATATTCAATGATATACAGGGTGCGTCTTAAATAAGTGAAAATATTTTCAAGACTGGTAGATCTCGATAAAAAAAACATATTTTCTCTTTACCATTTTTAAGTCCAAAATAACCAAGTTATTTAAGTTTGAAAATTAAAAAAAATAATTTTTTTGGAAAAAATTTTAGAGCCACCGGATTTTTTCTGCATTTGCATCCCTTTTATTGCCGTAACCATAGAGTCAAGCCGTAACTATGGTAATATCTGAGATTAAGAAATTATACCGTAGGAAAATTTGCGATGAACAGGCAGTTCCAAAAAGTTTTCGAAAAATATACAGGGAAATTTAAAAGAAAATTCACGATTTTCAACATCTTTTTTTAGCGAAAAAAACATCATAGACGTGTTCCTGGGGTCGAAATATACCACCCCTGAAAATATTTGCACTTATTTAAGACTCACCCTGTATAACCAGAAAAAAATAGGGGGATAACATAGAAAAAGAAATGAGATCCTATCAAAAACACAGAATGTAAAAAAATGCAACAAAAACAAACACAATTAAATAAATACTATAAAAAGTTGTGAGATCTCTAATCGAAATTGTAGATTATTCTTTTATAATTATGGCGCCGCCGTGCAATTGCCAAGTCATTATAATTATTACAGAAATAAATATGTCTAATATTGTAGTTGTTTAGGCTTTCGCAGCCATCGTTTGAAGAAATGTTGTTTTTTCGGGTTATTAGGCCGTCGTCGATTGGAACTGGTTCCTAACGTTTCGCTAGCACGAGTGGCTAGCATCTTCAGAGGTGTGTTTGCTCCGACTGCTCACACTAGACTGATCAGTCTAGTGATCAGTCTAGTCCAGTGTGAGCAAACACACCTCTGAAGATGCTAGCCACTCGTGCTAGCGAAACGTTAGGAACCAATTCCAATCGACGACGGCCTAATAACCCGAAAAACAACATTTCTTTATGTCTAATATTGATACTAACAATTTATAACAAAATTATTAAATAGGTGCTTAAAGAGAAACTAAATAAAATAAAGTGATTTGCATGAGATCTCACAGCTCTTTAGAGTGGAAGAATTGTGTTGCGAGACTTGGCATTTTTTACATTCTATGTTTTTGATGGGTAAAAAATTAACCGGTACATTTCCAAAAACGACCGGTTTTAACATTTAACCCAAATTAACGCCAAACAAAATTTACCTTACCTCAACACGTCCCATTAGAGTAAATATCTTTTTAATCGAGCCCCGCAAGAAAAAATACTTTGTTTTGAACCCATTAAACTGCACTTATCTCCTCTGGACACTGATAAAAATAAAATACTGCAACTTTATAAAAGGTTACCTCCGATCACTAACGCAGTTTGTTTCAAAATGTATTCGAAGGTAGTTAGTTTGGTGTTTGCGGCATGTTTTTCTGTGGCTTTAACCAATAAATATCGTGAAAATTCGGAGGAATCTTTTGATAGAAAAGAGAGTGAGTTGTCGTCTTCAGTGTTTATAGAATACAAAAATCCTTTAATCGATATATCGAGCGGGAAGATCCAAGGACGAGTTTTGGAGACAGTGGATCAGCAAAAGGTTTACTTTGCATTTCAGGGAATCCCCTACGCACAACCACCTGTCGGAAATTTGCGTTTTAGCGTAAGGACTAATCCAAGACTTTTCTATTGCTCACATAAACCTTAGCCAAAAAAAACCTGAGTAACTATAGATAGACTGAAAACTATAGATTTATAATTAAATCACAAAAAAGAGGGTGTTTTGTGCTTCAAATTTTGAATTGAATTAAATGTCCTCCTTGAGCTTGAACAACATTTGAACAAGCTGGAACAGATTTTTAATTATTTTTATGATGTATTGTTTTCGATTTATGACGAAGAATGAAAAACTGTTGCATGTATCTAAAAATTTGTACGGAACCCTCGGTGGGCGAGTTCGACCCGCAATGTTGTTTTTTCAACAGAACATCCTATTTTTGAATTTAAAAAGCATATGTTATATCCGCCACATTTTTTTGAAGCATCTTGTATATAACAGTTTGAAAATGTGTTTCCCTATAACTTTTCTATTTAACATTTTTTAATAATTCTCAAAAAACAAATAAAATAATGAACTTCATAAAAAACTGGGTACCTATTCTGAATAACCAACAAAACATTCTTTTCGACAATGTCTGTAAATTGTATATGGTAAAATGAACCCCTTCAATCCGTACAACTAAAATGTAAGCTTGTTTTTAGTTCAACTTTTGTTTACTTGAAATCAGCTATGTAAGAAATATTTGTTTATTTAGTATTTGGAAAGCCTTTTCGAATAGTATGTCATAAACATTTTTCTACGGTGCATCCTTTTCGAGTTTTTCAACTTTAGAATAGCTGAAATCAAGGCTACTTTCGTTTAGCTGAAATCAGTTATAAATATAAGAAATATTTATTTATTTAGTATGGAAGCCCTTTCGAAGAGTATGTCGTTATTTTTTGGCGGAAATACATCCTTTTCGAGTTTTTCAAATTTAGAATTGCTGAAATCAGGGCTACTTTAGTTTAGCTGAAATCAGTTACATGAAAACACGTTTCTGTTTTTGATTCTAGAATTTTTTCTAAACATAGACACGCAAAAAATTTCTTGCAGAAGTGTACCATTTGCATTTATATTTATTGATATATATTGTAAAATACAGCAAGATTTTTTTGAAAAGTATTCAGCAATTGGAATTCGTAAACAGACGTGTTTTAGCTTACAGAGTGTTTTGATTGCTTTGGTTAGTTTTCTTTTGGTTTGGTTTGTTGGTTCATTTTTGTTTATTTTCATTTTTTCTCGGTACGGTATTGATGTTCTAAATTACTAGGTATCTAGGTTGCGGCGACTTTTTAAAAGGTTAGGAAAAATTATAAAAAAAGATGGTAAAAATTAAAAAGAAAACCGCAGCGTACGGCTGCTCGTCTGGTGAACAATAGGTGTAGGTTCATTTAATTATTTTTGCATATTGTTGGGCACCACTTAATTTAAGCCAATTTAAAGTGATATTTAAAAAATTAAGAAAATTACCACAGGTTAAAGATGTCCAGTAATGATATATCTCAAATTAAAACAACAAAATTTAATAAAAAACTATGTACATTTATTAATAATTAAATAACTCCAGTTTGAAAGTGAATTAAAAGGTCATTTAAAAAAACAATAAATTAATATTATATTGATATAGCGAAACTTAAATTAAATATTACTAATATAAATCATCAAACGTAATCATTTGTTTAAGTTTCATCAAAAAAGAGGTTTCAATTAAGGTAAGTTTCAGTAGAAAGTTAAGAAAAAGGCAAAAAGATTCTAAAGCAAAACGTAAATTAGTACTTAGCTTTTGCTCTGAAGCTGTAGTCAATCAGTGTTGATTTGGTGTCGTACTGGGGCCCATATCCATTACGTAACTGCTTCAAACCATCAGAAAATTTGTCAATTTCACACCAGCCTCCAACAGGGAACCTTCACGGAACCATTCATAAAAACCAAAAACTGCTCAAAACTTCGGCTCAAAAAAAAACTACTGCTAAATCTTCTTTAAAAAACTCGTCCAAAATGTTCTCAAAAAACTTCTCTTTTCCAAAACGAAAGTTGCTCCCAAAATCTACTCCAAAAAATTACTCCAAAAAACTCCCAAAATGTCAAATCTTCCCCTTAAGTTGGTAAGGGACACACCTATAATAAATGATTTTTTCTCTAAGTATATGAAAGAAAGTAAAAGAAAAAACTATAACTTACTCGCAGGGCTATTCTCCGTCACATACGATGTACCAAAAAAACTTTTCAAAGAAGACGAAAACCACCCTGGGACTTCACCAGTGGTTGAAATGGAAGTGTCGAAAAATCCGAATAAAATGTTAAAATTCTGCCAGAGATTATCTTCTGACGACAAAAAGTAAATACACACCAAACTGTGCTCGAAATAAGGAAACTTCAGGAAAGTTATTAATAACATTTAAAGAAAAATTTAAATAATAATATAAATGGCAACCCTGCGCCACCACATCAAACGGCATTCATGGTACTACCAAAATTGCAGCGGTACCGACTAGGGATGGTCATTATTTGCTTAAATTCTGCTAGAGATGTAGCGCAAAAATAAGAAATTATTTTAGGCTGCTACAAGGTTCATAGGTTCATACCTTCACAAAAAAAAGTTTAGAATGTAAAGCAGGAACACGTTTTTATGTAACTGATTTCAGTTATTCTAAAGTCAGAAAAAAGAGAATGGCGCATTTCCGCAGAGATTTTTTTATGATTTTGAGTTTGGGGAGGCTTCTATACCGGGTGCGTCTCAAAAGTGGCTCACCCATAGAGCTTTTTTATTTTTTCAGCTAAAAAACGAGATTTGGTGTGTTAGTATATGACATAAATTAGGATTGATTGACGTATTCAATTGTTTTCGGTCACTTCCTGTTTCACCGGAAATGACTACAACTTTTGATTTTTAAATGGCACCCTCAGTATTTTTTTTACTTTATTCAATAGAAAATAACACTCTGAATAGAATGACATGTCATATGTCAAGTTTTGACATTTTCGCATAATATGGTTTATTTGAAATTATAACTGGCGCACGGTGGGGTATTAGCATGAAAAAGGTGATCGAAATTCGAAAAATCAAATGTGTTTAAGATTTCCCAAAAAAAGATAAATGATAAATTAAATCATGTCTGCCATGAATGGCGTTGCTATAGGTGTGTTTAGTTGCATTCATTTGTTTCAACGATGTTTAAAATTATAAATTGTTGTTGTTCTTGTGCTCTTTTTACGTTTATATTATTGTTTTGATTGAAAATGGCTGCAGGCATGTATGTGTAGAGCAAGCTGCAGGTATGTATTCTACAAAAACGTATTATTTATTTTGATATTCTCTATACTAACGATTTTTTTTGCAACTAAAAGTTAGGCGTTCAGAAAATTTGATTAAGTTTGTGACATTTTTATTATACTTAGAGATTAAGTTGCGCATTTCGAAGAATTCAGCATATTGTCTATATAAGTTTTACTTGGTGAACATTGGGCTTTCATGCAGTAAAATAAAATACTGCGACTTTTTGCGACTTTGCTGATAAAATGAGAAAAACGTTCTTGGTTTCCTCTAATTTGCCAATTAGTGATATACTAATGCGAGGTGTAAACCGCGACGGCATTGTTGTGTACAAAGTAATCGCATTAGTACGATTAGCAGTATAGCACAATTTGGCATTAGTAGCGACTTTAGTGGTATGGGCATTGCTCGCAGGTCAGTCGTAGCATTAGTAGTATTAGTTGCGATATTACTACTGGCATTAGTGGCATTGACCGTGGAAACACTGGAACAGTGATTTTCCTTTCTTTTTTTTAGAATCGACGAATTATCCTTTATTTTGTTCATATTATTTCCTCTTTAATTGAAAATAGCAATAATTTATATCAGGTCTACATAAAAAAATTTCGATCAACTATCTGTGTCAAATACCCCACTGTGTGGCGGTTCGTAACGAAAATTTGACTCGAAATAACAAGTGTGTGATATCAAATTATTAAAAAAAAATGCTTTTTGCAAATATGCTAATGAGCCACCCTCGTTCCATTTGAAAAAATTGAGATACGATTTAGGCATTTTTTAACCGGCCAGGACAAGACACTAAAAATATTAGACGATCAAATCTATTTTTCCAAGGCTCCTTGATTAAGAATTAATATTTTTGACATAGCACTCTAGATTGAAACTTAAAATACATTTTTTTATTAAGCGAGAATGTCAAAAGTTGACATATGATACGTCATTCTATTCAGAATATCTTTTTCTATCGAAAAAGTAAAAATATACCGTGGGTGCCATTTAAAAACCAAAAGTTGTAGTAATTTCGGGTGAAACAGAAAATGACCAAATTTCAATTAAATGCGTCAATCAATCCCAATTTATGTCATATACTAACATACCAAATCTCGTTTTTTTATCTAAAAAAATAAAAAAGTTATAGGGGTGAGCCACTTTTGAAACGCACCCGATATACTGGATGTTTTGTTGTTTTTTTTATAAGTAATTACAAGTAAAAAAAAGTTCACCCTAGTTTTTTTTTGTAAATCGTTCTCTTATGTTTAAAATACGATTAGAATAAAAAATTTAAGATTTTTTTCATTATCAGGAACCATTACCACCAATAAATTGGAATGATACGCTACTAACCGTACAGGATGGGCCCCGCTGCATTCAGTTTATCTCCATAGCTGGATCAGAAGATTGTTTATATCTAAACGTATTTACACCCAAGGTACAACAGAAACGCCACCAAAAAATACAATCTAAATTTTCGATAATTTTACAATTCTGGAACATTTCCCAAATTTTAAAATAACAATAATTAGAAACTATTTTGTAATTTTTATTTTTTAATTGCGTATATGACGATTTTCTAATAAATATTGTTCTAGTTACCACGAAAGGACGTAAAGGAACAAAACAAAGATCTGCTGTTACCTGTCATGGTGTGGGTTTATGGTGGTACATTTGTTAATGGGGAAGCTACCGTCAAAAGTTTCAGCCCTGACTATCTAATTGAAGAAGATGTAATTATTGTCACCTTCAATTATCGAGTAGGAGTATTTGGTAAGGAATAAGATACCCAATGACCTAAATAGTAAGATGTCATTCAAGATACCTCCTATAAGTGATATTCTAAATAAATAAATCAAAGTCAGGATACTTTTACACTACTATTTTTCACACCATTTATAACTCAAGAACGTCTGGGCAGATTTTAATAATCCCTGATATGTTGGATATTCGCTCAGTCTCGAATAGCAGAATAACTATTAAAATATAGGAAAAATTGTCGGAAAATTCACGAAAAAAATTATACAGAAAATTAATTTTTAAATAAATTACTTATGGAACTCCGCCATTGAGAGCTCATGTCACGCACACTTATAGCTGACTTTAAATAATTGATGATTAAAAGTGCACTTTTGCGATAAATTATTATATCGAGGGCTTTATAAATTTTAGGTAAAAAAAATTGTATGTGCTCTATGTGCGCATATTTGAAGTGAAACTTTTTCTTACTTCCGTCTGTCTGTCTGTCCGTCTGCCCGTTTGTCCGTCTGAGACCAGATGCCAGATACCTGAGATTCAGGTACCTCTATCCACGTGCCCAGTTTGGTTCCAATCAACCCATAATTAAGAAAAATCCTGATGATTTCATCCATTTAGATGCATTGGTTCGAAACGTCGAGAGCGTCATCCAGTAGCCCGTCCCCAATTATGCCGACCCACATTTTTCTTCAATATCAAATCCTTACTCCAACCCTGATGAACATGTAAACGAAACGTCGTATCCAACTTCACATCAACAATTTCATCAACATCAACTTTTGACGTTTCTAACGCCAAAACTAACTGTCACCGTGACACGTGACACGGTAAAATGCGCCTTGGTCCAATCCATCGATATATCATATTCATGGTGCACGAAACGTCCCCAAAATACTACAACCATCTCCATTTCGAGTTTCAACCCCCTAGCTCACATAGGGCACGAGTTACAACGCCCCTCTCGCGTCTCGTGTGTCACGGACGTCCCGGCCTTCAATTTTTACTCCCATCGCGGGTACAGAAGTTTTACTTCAAAAAATAAAAAATCGACCAAGAAAATCGACAACTTAAAACTGTCATCTAAAATAGCTCTAAAACTATTCATTTTTAGTAAGCGTTCAGCGACCCAATGTGAGTACATAATAATTAGTAAAAATCCTCAACTGAGGGCAGGAGACACAAGAGCGCTGGCGCTTACTGCCAGTTGACCTTAAGAAAATTGTAATTTATTTTTATAATTGAGGAAAAATGATTTTTAAAAAACGTAGTTTAAAATTCGAAAAAACTATTTTTTTCGAAATAGATTTGCGTGTTTGGAAACGTTCCATCCTTTTTTAATATTTCCATAATTAGTGTTAATTTTTGACAAGTTTTATGTCAATTTTTAGTAATTGACGTCTGACCTCATCAAAATTATCATCGATTGTCATTCTCCAGCCGTCTTTGACGCCGTTTTTTTTTCGATCACACGGTTCTTATTGCTATATTGCAGGTTTCCTGAGCACTGGAGATTACGCTGCTACAGGAAATTGGGGTCTAAAAGACCAAATCCTGGCTTTAAAGTGGGTTAAAGAAAATATCCAAAAATTCTCAGGAGATCCAGATAAAATAACTTTGTTTGGTCAAAGCGCAGGCGCTGCATGCGTCTCTTTACTAATTCAAAGTCCTCTTGCCACAGGTATATGTTTATTTTTAGAAAAAAAAGCCAAATAATTTCTTTTTTTTTCTGTTAGGCTTGTTTCACGGGGCTATAATGCAAAGCGGAAGCGCTCTAAATTCTTGGGCACATGCCCAGTTTCCAAGAAAATCTGCATTCGCTATTGGGCGACTTTTAGATATCAAAACAAACGACTCCTCTGTTTTGATCGAGCAGCTAAGAAAAATCGACCATAGGACTTTGCAAACTACATCTACGTCCACTAATTTAGGGGTAAGTGTAGTAACCGGGTGCATCTCAAAACTGGCTCACCCCTTTAACTTTTTTTATTATTTCAGATAAAATAACGAGACCTTGTACGTCAGTATATGACATAAATCAGGATTGATTGACAAATTTAATTGTTTTTGGTCACTTCCTGTTTTAACGGAAATGACTACAACTTTTGATTTTTAAACGGCACCCTCGGTATTTTTTTACTTTATTCGATAGAAAATGACATTCTGAATAGAAACGGTAAATTTCTGGTAAAACAGGAAGTGACCGAAAACAATTGAATACATCAATCAATCCTAATTTATGCCATATACTAACATACCAAATGTCGTTTTTCTATCTGAAAAAAATAAAAAAGTTATAGGGGTGAACCACTTTTGAGACGCACCCGGTATAATGTATAAGGGATAAAACATTATAACTTCTTCCCTCTACGTTAACTACGCGTAACGCGTATCATACGATCGAAAAAACGGGTAATGAAAATACATTAAATAAATTATACTGTATAATCGAAACAAAAACGGCGTCAGAGATGGCTACGAAATGAAGATCGCTATCATTTTATATGTAAATTTATATGGGAAATGTCATCGATCGTCATTTCCTAGACAATTGGACGCGGTTTATTTTTCGATAATACGGTATTAGGTACAACCTGCATGAAAAAACACACATTGTAATTAAATAATATTTCTTCCAGGAAACAATTTTTCATAATCCCTTAGATGGCTTGGTATTTGCCCCCACTGCAGAAGTACATCATCCCGGGGCAGTTTTCGCCAACAAAAGTCACGAAGCATTAAAAGACGGAAATATTAATCGAGTACCCATCATAATAGGGTTTAACTCACAGGAAGCGATTCCATTTGTTGATGGTAATTCTTTATAAAATAACTTTGTATTAAGATAAATAATTAATTCTAATTTTAAATTATTGACGTATTGTCTATAATACTGATAATCAGTAACCAAGAATCAATTCTGGGACATTATTCAAGACAGTCTCTAACCACAGCCTGTTCACAACCAGCCTGTCGACTATGGAAATGGTCGTATTTGCATGGAAATCTGCATACCTATTTATTATATTTATTTTTTTTATATATTCACTTATCTTATGTAACAAATCGGGTCTTGAACTTCATTTAACACTCGCGTCGGCCTCGCGTCGTTTAAAAAAAGCTCGATTTGGTGTGGTCATGTCTACAACAAAAAAGTAGGAGGTGACACGCGGATTCTCAAAAAGAAGCAAAGATGACCAGCTGGTACTGAATAAACTGTGCTTTAAGTTATAATTCAATGCTGTAAAGAAAATAATTGGGAGCTGGTATGAATCATAAAGCATCATTTATAAGCGATACCAATTAAACTTTTAGTTACGTAATCGAGGGCGCAATTTTTAAATTCATTGTTGCCAACCATGGGCATATTCGGCGTCGGGCTGACTAATTGGAATTTCAATTTCTCGCTGGGAATTCAGGTGGTAGCTCTGCTGTAAAAAATGTCAAGTTGCCACATTTATTTATTTATTTATTTCCTGATATTGTCATTCGTTTTGACACTTTTGTTTCGTATTACGAGTTTTTGGGTTAAATTAATAGTGTTGTGATACTTTAAACTTAAAAAATTTTACTAGCAGACCTTGCAGTCTAACACTGTTTTTTTAGAACCTCTTTTAGGGAAGTGTACAAGATACCTTAATAGCCGTTGCAAAAAGCTCATCCCAACCTTATTAGAACCTTTTGAACGGAAAGCGATAGTAATGGTCCTTTATGTCCCTTAAATGTTGTTAAAGAGTGAGATAAATATATTTATTATTAATTTATTTTTGTTTCCTAAAAAATCCTTTTCTATATAAAATATACAGGATGACTCTTTTTTGCTTTCAGTTTTAAAATACCTGAAGCCATACCTCGCAACTTACGATCTATTCGCTACTCGTTTAGTGACAGACAGTTTAAACATAAAATCCTTTATTATAAAGCTGGTGTTGGCCAGGCTGATACGTTTGAAGTACTTCGGATTGATACCTATTGTATTCTCAACTAGCCAGCTAACCCAAGTATGAAAACTATTGTAAAAAACAGAAAAAAATGTCCATAAAGTTTGTTTCAGACGACCAGTTCGTTAGACCTATCTACGAATATGTTAGACAATCGTCGAAATATAATCCAGCGTATTTTTATATTTTTTCATACGAAGGACCTCTCGGTGTGGACGGCAAGAAAAGAAACCAACCAGGTTAGTATACCTGCGTCACACTTCACACTCCACGTTCCAATAAATTTAAAAGTTTTTATATTCAGAATATCTTTTCCAGGTGTAGGGCATTCTGAAGATAACAACTACCTATGGAACAGAGATACTAACATTAAAAATCCTCCAACAGAAGACCTATTAACCAGGAAGCGTCTAGTAAAATTCTGGACTAATTTTGCAAAAACAGCGTAAGCAAATAATCCAGGTACCTTCAAAATTCTGTAATAATTTCATTAATTTTTCAGAAATCCTACACCAGAATTCGATCCGATACTACAGAACGTCACTTGGTCACCAACTAACATCAAAGGAATGGTGTACCTGAACATCAGCTCGAATTTGCAAATGAACACCGATTTTTCGAAATACAGTATTAAATTTTGGAACTTCATTTTCAACTCGTACGGAGAACAACCATATGATACGTACTAGTATTTATAAATGTCTTATTATTTCAAAAAAAATAAAACTAGTAAAAACGAACTATGCAAAATGCAAACCATCTTTTATTTTTAATTTTGTTTTAGGTATCTATTTTAGTTACCAGTCGTAGAAAAATTACTACTTAAAAAGATTAGTTGTCATTCTATTTAAATAAACAAATAATATATTAACAACTGCAGTTTTTTTCATGTTTTACGGAAGATTGCAAAAATTATTTTAGAGGGTAATATGATGTACTTACGATTAGTGTAGGAATATCCAAAAGTTCGAACTTCACATGATCAGCAACAAACCGTGAACATTCTTCCCAAGATTCTATCTCTGAATAAGGAAGAGTAGTTGGTCGAATAGTTGTACAAACCATTTTCTGAAAACAAACATCTATTATTAAAATATGGTAGGTACTAGTGATGAACAAATGCAAGACAACTAGTAAGTATGCCATTCGAAAGTGTCAAAGTATATAAAATATAAAGTAATTTAAATGTTTTTTTTCACTCATAGAGTACCACCAACATAGCAGCAGATATGTTGTAATGTTGTTTATATTACAAAGACAAAAACATTTTTAAAAAAGTATCAGAATATTTATTAAAATAGAAAATTAGGTAGATTATTTACAGTAATCGCACACATATGTTTCGGCGTCATATCCAGCACAATCTGAGTGTACTCATGATTTGCATGTGAGGCACTGAACCCACTGTTCTTCCCTTGTATATTTCCTTCGCCAAAAATAATCGACTCCTGATCTTCTGGCTCTCTATTTAAATCAAACTCTGGAGCGAGTTCTGAGGAGATCGAAATAATTCAGCTTGCATTGGATTCACTAATTATTCCCGTCTTGTGATTTTTGCTAATGTTGCTCTATATCCCTCCTACAATAATTAAGATCAGATTAAACAAATCTATCGACGTTATATAACATATACGACGTATATGTTAAAATATATCTTGGGTTACAGTGCGTGCTGAACCACAAAGTCAACCTTCAAGTGCAACATGAAGACGCTATAATCCGAAAAAAATGTACCGGGTGTTTGTCAAGTGGCTCACCCCTATAACTTTTTTGTTTTTTTCAGGTAAACTTAACAGTAAAACTTTTGATTTTTAAATCACACCCTCAGCATTTTTTTTCTTTATTCAATAGAAATTGTCACTCTGAATAGAATAACATATCATATGTCATTCTTATGCCAAAATCGTTTTTAAATTTCAATCTAGACTGCCATGGCTGTGTTAAAAACACTAATTTTTAATAAAGGAGCATTGGACAAAAAAATTCCAAATTCGATTTTAATCAAATCTCGTTTTTTTTTAAATGGACTGAGAGTGGCTCATTAGCACATTTGGAAAATGCATTTTTTAAGAATAATTTGATACCACACATTTGGTATTTTTGAATTGTCGTTAGGAACCGCATGTTACATACAACTTCAAATAAACCATGTGAGAAAATGTTAAAAGTTGACATGATATATGTCATTCTATTCAGAGTGTAATTTTCTATCGAATAAAGTAAAAAAATAACGAGGGTATCATAGGGTATCATTTAAAAATCAAAATTTGTAGTCATTTCCGGTGAAAGAGGAAATGACCGAAAACCAACTACAACAACTACAGTGCGATTCTGTAAGCATATTTCCTGCCTAATGACTCATCAATCGTATACAAATAACATAGGCTAGGCATGAAATTTCTTGCTACGCAGCTTACAGAATCCCACTGCTGAATCAATGCCGTCTCTAATAGAACAGCCTTGGGGCGAGATTTATGACGTCACGCTAGTTAGATACTATGGATTAATAAATATGTTGTAGAATACATGGAAAACATAATTATTCCTCAGATTTTTGGTTTGTATTTTAAAAATTATATAGTTCACATGAAATATACATAATATACAATTAATAACTACAACATATATACCTATTTATAGTAATAAATACTTTGGCAAATAAACTATGAACCATACAAATGCAGCAAATGTTTTACAATATACAAATAATGTATTACATAAGATATTGGGTAAAATGTAAATATATTTTAAATTTTGGGGTTTGAAAATCGATCTAATTTAACAAAAAACATTCAATATCTACTAATAGTGATGTATTATTATTTGCATTCACAAAATTTATATATGTATATTTTGCAAGTATCAATGTTCGAAAAATTATATTTACAAATAATACAATATCATCTAAAAAAAGGCGTCAGCGATGGCTATGAAATGAAGATCGCTGGCATTTTATATGTAAAATTATTCTAAAATTTTTGATTTTCTTGGGATTTTTAGATTCGGGAAAAACGCTGATTTAAGTTTTCATTTGGGTTTTCATTATTTTTATTTGTTTAAAAAAAACGTTTTGGCTAACTATAGCCTTCATCAGTGTTGTGTCATATGAAAAAAATAGTGTCGAATATAATCCAAAAAATTACATATGAAATATTCACACCACATAATGTTTACTGCAATTAATAAACTAATATAAACTTACCAAAAGATGACCACATATTTTTTAGAATTATTATTCTTAACAGTAAAACTATCTACATTGACTATGGAGACTATGGAGTACGCAGTAAACATTATGTGGTGCGTGGTGTGAATATTTTATATGTAATTTTTGGATTATATTCGACACTATTTTTTTTTCATATGACACAACACTGATGAAGGCTATAATGTTAGCCGAAACGTTTTTTTTTAAACCAAATAAAAATAATGAAAAACCAAATGAAAACTTAATCAGCGTTTTTCCCGAACCTAAATCCCAAGAAAATCAAAAAATTTAGAATATTTAGAAACAAGGTTCAAGAATATCAAATTTTCCAAGATTGTAAAATTCTAGTTAATTTTTTTATGTATACAATTGTTTAGAGAATGTCATCGATGTTCATTTCCAAGCCAACTAGACGCCGATTTTTTTTCGATGATACGGTATAATATAAAATAAAATGTAAATATTAAATAAAATGTAAATAACATTCGACCAATTAAAACAAAGAAATATGAATTTCTTAGTATTTTTAGTAACACCTTTATTCTTAAAACTTAATTTTGTATTGCAAATATACCAATTTTATTGTTATTTTATTCATATTGTATTCAGCCATCACTTAAATATTTGATATTAATTTGGTATTATAAATAATCGACACTATTCAGTAAAAATTACTGAACAAATAGGTATATGTTATGCTTTACATACATTATATTATCAAACAAAAACACATTCTTCTTTTAAACTTTATCATTCTTGTCTTTACAAAAATCTTTTTTAATTTTGAACTCAAAATAATAATCTTTTTCATGATCTTTAATACACATATTCTTTATTTTTCCCTAGATCATAATACCTACTTACGTGTTTATCTTACGTGTTTGAATCTATCGAAGCTGAACCAACAACACTTGGAGTGGAGATTCCACAATATGAATAAAATAAACATAATTGTCCAGTTTTCTTTAATACCATTCTGGGAGAATATTATTTTTAAATTTATTAAGATATTTTCAATAGAATTGTCTTGATTTATAACTCGTACCCACTTTTCTTGCTCTTCCGGATACTTTAAGCTGCCTAGTATAACTATCCTTTCCACCAGGAACACAACAAAGATGAGGCATAGCTCCAAAAACACACTCCACTTAAGCTTTATTGATGAATTGTTGAGTCTTAAAAAACACACACAAAAATCACGATAAATAAAAAATTTATGGGCACTTTTAGGTTAAAGCACTTAACAAAACGTGTAATATTTCGTATTTTTTATGAGAAACAGATTGACCATCATAGTAACCATATATCTGGTAGTACTTTATGTCACTTAAACACCAAAATAATTAGTTTTTTGCACTACAATAACAAATAATACCAAAAATCAACCGACAAAATATGAATACAGAATCTAACCCAATATCTAAGTATGTACAGCTGATGAAGTAAACAAAAGTCCGCCCGTAGGCTGATCTTTTATAGGCATTGGCTGAATAACTAACCTAACCTAACCTAGCCAATTAATCCTGTGGCCGTTGCGGGTAGCAAATTAGGCACACTAAATAATTAAGTCATTTAATTAACTCGATCAATTGTTACAAACTAAACAACTATTACAAAACATAAGAATTCGGTTTCTTGGCGCGAAACGTGAATGTTGAAGGTCCAATCGCTATCCACAGAATAATCCTTCTTCTTCCCCGATTGACAGATATCAGCTGGGTGGCGATTCAAGGTTGCTACTCTCCTCCCGTGGAGCCAACCAATCTGTGGCGGGCCCTTGCTACCTTTGGAAGTCCGCCACAGGGCTCCCCCCCAGCGAGGAACCCACTGGTTGTGAACGGTTCTGCTGGCATACGTTGAGCAGCAAACGGTTGGCGTATGAATGTTCCTCCGCCAGTTGATGAGATGCTGGAACATATGCTGCCTTCAGTCGATCCATGGAGACTCGTTGGGGAACATTCTGGACGTCCACCGTTAGGAACTTGTCATCTCGTTCCACAACTTTGTACGGGCCGCTATATGGAGGTGTCAATGGAGGCTTCACCTTGTCGTTACGTATGAAGACATGTGTAGTCGTCTGTAGGTCGGGATGGACATAGGCGGTGCGAACTGAGTGGTTGCTCGTTGGTACAGGCCTCAATGCTCCCATGGTCTCACGGAGTCGTTGAACAAATCGGTGTTCGTCAGTTGGGGTAGCACTTGGAACAAATAGCTGTCCAGGGAGGCGAACTGGTGCACCAAACACTAAATCGGAGGCTGTACAGGCGATGTCCGGTTTGAAGGTGTTCCGTAGGCTCAGCATGACGAGGGGAAGAGCTTCGGCCCAGGATACGACATCAGCAGCGACGAGTGCAGCCTTGAGGGTTCGGTGAAAGCGTTCGATACATCCATTTGATTGTGGGTGATAAGCAGTCGTCTTTATGTGCTGTACTCCAAGTGCTGTGTTAAGCTGGCGGAACAACTGGCTCTCGAATTGTCTGCCTCGGTCTGTAGTAATGGTCGCTGGTACACCAAAGCGGGATATCCATCCTTCGAGGAGCTTTTGTACCACTACTTCAGTAGTTATCTCACGAATAGGGATAGCCTCAGGCCATCTCGTAAATCGATCAATGATCGTGAGCAGGTATCGAAAATTGTCACTAGGTGGAAGTGGTCCCACAATGTCGATATGTATGTGGGCAAATCGTTCGTCAGGCATTCCTAGTGGTGTCACCGGTGTAACAGTATGACGTCCTACTTTGGCCCGCTGACATTGAAGACACTCTCTGGACCACTGCTTGACTTGACGGTTCATATTATGCCACACGAAGCGTTCGGCGATCATTCTCAGCGTAGCAGCGTGTCCAGGGTGGGACTGGGTGTGGAACTTCAAGAAAACATCCCTCTGGAAGGTCGCCGGCACGTACACACGTACACGTCCATCTTGGATTGAACAGTATAGGGGTCGTTCGCTATCTGGTATGACAATGTGTTGAAGGTTTAAAGAGCTTGTGGGGTCCTGCAGAGCTTCTTGTAGACCTTCATCAGTTGTCTGAGCTTCAGCTAACCGGTCAAAGTCAATGGTGATGGGTGATGTTATTGCGTCTACCTCAGGTCGTGAGAGACAGTCGGCTACAATGTTCTTTTCTCCTTGGACATGTCGGATGTCTGTGGAAAATTGACCAATAAATTCCAGCTGGCGGATCTGTCGTGGAGATTGACGGTCATGTCGCTGCTGAAAGGCATACGTCAAGGGCTTGTGGTCAGTGTATATGATGAATGGCATGCCCTCAAGAAGGTAGCGGAAATGGTGAATACCGCTAAATATTGCCAACAGCTCGCGGTCGTAGGTACTGTAGTTACGCTCCGTCTTCGACAACTTCCGTGAGAAGAAAGAAATAGGCTGTAAGTGCTCACCAACAAGCTGTTGCAATACACCACCGATCGCGGTGTCCGAAGCGTCGACTGACATGCTCAACTGAGCATGGGGTGCTGGAAAAACCAACTCGGCAGCAGTAGCTAGGAGTTCTTTAACTCTGGTGAAGGCACTTGATGCTGCTGGGGTCAAGTTGAGGTCCTGTTGCTTTTTCTTTTGGTGGGAAAGTAGCTCGGTGAGTGGCATAAGCTCTTTTGCAGCATTCGGTAACCAGCGTCGATAGAAATTAACCATCCCTAAGAAGCGACGTAGCTGTTTGATGTTGTTGGTTGCGGAAAACTGCGAATAGCACTGACTTTAGCTGGCAGAGGCCTGACTCCAGTTGGGGAGACTGTGACGCCCAAGAAATTTGCCTCTCGTATCCGGAATTTGGACTTTTCTTTGTTGATTTGGAGTCCATTTGCTTCTAGGATCTGAAGAACTACTGCTAAGTGCTGCTCGTGTTCTGCTTCCGTCTCCGAGACTACCAGTATGTCGTCGATGTACACATATACAAATGAACACCCTCGGAAGAGATGGTCGAGGTACCGCTGAAGTGTCTGGGCGGCGTTACGTAAGCCAAAGGGCATACGTAGAAATTCGTACAAACCAAAAGGTGTAATAACAGCCGTTTTTTGTACATCTTCTGGGCGGACTGGGATCTGGTGGAATGCATGTACAAGATCAATGGTAGAGAAAATTTTCTTTCCATGTAGCTGATTTGCAAAGTCCTGAATATGTGGCACTGGATAGCGATCAGGCTTGGTAATTGCATTTAACCGACGGAAATCCCCACAAGCACGCCACTGGCCGTTGGCTTTTTGGACCATGTGAAGCGGGCTAGCCCATGGCGATTTTGATGGCTGAACAATGCCCATTTGTATAAGTTGATTGAATTCGGCCCGTGCAGCTTGTAGACGGTCTGGTGGAAGCCTGCGCGGCTTGGAGAACACTGGTGGGCCTTGGGTGTCGATATAGTGCTGGACTCTTCCAGGGTCGTCTGGTGCATCCGTTGGTCGGTCATAAGGATGGGCAGTAGATATTCCCACCTCCAACGCGCTTACTCGTCGAGACACACACGTAATGCTGCTTGGTATAGTTGGACACACAAGGCGCTTGTTTCGCATATCTACGGTGAAACCATGGTGTACGAGGAAGTCAGCACCTAGGATGGCAGTAGTGACATCTGCAACAACAAAGGTCCATGTGACTGGCTGGCCAAAACCAAGGTCAAGTGTCAACTGTTTCTGCCCAAACGTTCTAATACAGGAACCAGTAGCAGAGTATAGGCGTATCATACTAGGTTTTGAAGCAGAACATGCTTTGCGTGGCAGCACACTTAAGTCGGCTCCAGTGTCAACGAGGAACGGCGACGAAAAGGCGACGTGGTGCATGGGGGGCAGTGGTTGTCATGATTACTGCGCCCCCTCTTGATCGTTTTTTGAGAAGGTACATGGTGCTCTACACTTCTTAGCTTGGGACCCAAATCTCCTGTGATAGTAGCAGTGCCCGTCAGTTTTCTCGTCCACACTTACTTTGTTGTTTAACGCAGGCTTTCCGTCCATGGCCATGATAGGAAAACTAGAACATTGTATATATTTGTCAGCTTTCTTGGCCAATTCTTCCAGGTCTCCATCCAGGATTGCTATGACTCCCCGGGCTTGGGGTGGTAGGCGGTCTAACCAGAGTTTCTTTAAAACCTGCGTGGAAACGTTATTTGAGGCCAAAGCTTGCATTCGGTGGAGAAGCTGTGTTGGTTTAAGGTCGCCCAAGGTCATTTCCATAAGCTGGTGAATTTTGTCGTCAGCGCTACTGCCATATCTATCTAACAGTCTCGTTTTGAGGTCTTCGTAGGCCCTACCTCTAGTTGGATTTCGTAGTATGTCGGCTACCTCTAATAGGACCTCGCTGTTTAAACTTGTTACGGTGTGATCGAACTTGCAGTCATCAGATGTTATTTTGGCTTGCCTGAATTGGGCTTCCAGGCGTAGGAACCATAGTTCGGGCTCTGTGCGCCAAAACTCCGGTGCTTTAATCCCTACACGGGCAATAACGACTTGATCGTCAGTTTGGAAGTCGTTCGTGTCGGAGGTGGACATTGCGTATCTGAATCTCTTGCACTCACACGTTCGTCGGGGTCACCAATGTGGCCGTTGCGGGTAGCAAATTAGGCACACTAAATAATTAAGTCATTTAATTAACTCGATCAATTGTTACAAACTAAACAACTATTACAAAACATAAGAATTCGGTTTCTTGGCGCGAAACGTGAATGTTGAAGGTCCAATCGCTATCCACAGAATAATCCTTCTTCTTCCCCGATTGACAGATATCAGCTGGGTGGCGATTCAAGGTTGCTACTCTCCTCCCGTGGAGCCAACCAATCTGTGGCGGGCCCTTGCTACCTTTGGAAGTCCGCCACAATCCCTCATTTATGTCATATACTAACCTACCAAATCTCGTTATTTATCTGAAAAAATAAAAAAGTTATAGGGTTGAGCCACTTATGAGAAACACCCGGTATATGCATTAACATATCGAAAAAATATATTTAACAAATTAAAATATAAACCAATACTTACCTGAAGACACAATGTAACTTAATTTAAATCAAAAATCAAGGCAATGATTTGTGAAAAGTTGAACAAAACAATGAAAAATATTTTTGTCGCGTCCTGTCACAATTAATTTTTCACATATTTTTGCGCTGTACTAAATTTAAATTGCTACAAAATCTGTGTATCCACTAAATAGCTAAGGTTAGCTGGCTAACTAAAGCTGAACTAGTAGTTTAACTTGTGTCTAACCCTAGCAGGCAACTGTTAAGCCCGACCAATCACGTTAGAGTTTTTGACAAACACGAATGAATTAACACACTCCAAATAACCACGCTAACCAACCTGATTGGTCAAGCTTAATAGTTGACTGCTAGGACTAGACACTTCTGTAGTTTATACCATATTTAACAAGATAACGTCACGCATAGCTTCCCAACTCCCAACTGTATTCCGAATTAAAGGCTGTTTCTCACTATACCTTCCGTTTCCATTCCATATCCGTTCAGTATTTTTTATTGTATTGATGCTATACGTAAGCTTCCGTTCCATATCAGTTCCATACTTGTTATTGTACAATTTATATCATTACAAAAGTTTTATTTTAAAAATTTGTATCTTTTGAATAAGGTAATAGATTTAATTAAGAGGTGAAAGAATATATAAATATCAGCAAAATGTTAACAGAGCTGGTAGAAATGTAAGAACTTGACAACGCTGTTACCGATACGCTTCACTCCGTCCGCCAAAAAAATGTATGGAAGGAAAGGATATGGAACGGCAGGGAAACGGAACGGATAGTGTGCAGTGTCCATGATTTCTTTTACATGATATAATATTTTATGTAAACGGAACGGAAACGGAAGGTAGCTGATACGGAAGGTATAGTGAGCATCAACCTTTACACTCATTTCCTCTACAAACCAAAAACTGGTAAAAGTGACATTTAATCCCTCCCCCCTCCTTGAGCTCGCCATCTATATTCGGTGACCACAATCAGGGACAACACATCAGCTCAAGCTCAAGTCTAGAGAAATCATTTAAAACCATTTTCAAAACTGTAGGAATTTTTTCCACCGATTTCCCTAATAGGTATTTCCCTACTCCACATATGATGAGGTACAAAGCCACCTCATCATAATGAGAAATATAATAATAAAAAAATTATAATTCAAAAAATTACAAATTGTTGGTGGCAAGTTCATTTCGCCGTTAAAAATTAACCAAGGCATTTTTTCCATAATCGAAAAAAGTAAAAGCTCAGGAGACATGGTTCTGACCGAAAATTAATGTTTTAGGAAAATTTGCTCACGAAATTATTGCACATGGTGTTTTAAAGTTAAGTTATAAACCAACCCTTTGATTAACCATGTATAATGAGCCAAATACTAAACTTATAGGAATTAAAGTTGGATTTACGAATTAGTTGATATATTTATATACAGTTTACTAAAAAAATCATGAAAATAGGGCTAAAAATATAAAAAATATACCTAACACTTTTTTTTCGTGAATTTTTTTGCATCTGAGTGTATACTAAGTAGGTATAATCATCAGTAAAATATATTACCTGCATCCCACATTCATTATCGCAGGCTAAAAACAATGGCTTCCTATCAGGATAGTTAAAACAAAACTGTCTTCTAAAATTCTCCACATACAAAAGCAGCAATTTCTCTTTGTCGTTGTTTTTTAAATAACTATCTGGAAAATTGTTACGATCCTCGAAATCCACCTCCGATAAATCAGGCCAGCACATCTTTATAAGGCCCAACTCATCAGAAATCTGCTTTAAGTACTCCATTGTGATATCCAGAGGCTCTTGGAGTTCCCTTGGCGCATCTAAAAGTTCTATGTAAGAGAACGGTTTTTCTTCTTCTTCAGCTTCAGCAACTTCTTCTCCCTCTTCTCCTTCATTTTCAATAAATGTATCAAAATGCTCAACACCTTCAGTACTTTCTACATGAAAATCTTTATCTGATTTTGATATATTTTCATCTGTAACATCAACGCTATGACTACTTTGTTTTGATTCAGTTTTTTCTTCATTTAAATCGGATTTTGTTCCATTTAGAACATTGCCATATCCATCAAACTTCTCTTGAGACATTTTAAATAATATACTTTAAAATTAAAACCAAAGTAAAAACCACCATAAACTGCCACAAACGAAACAAGAGAACAACTTTCAAAAAATCTTAATTTATCTTTCAATCAAACACAATCGTTGCCATAGTAACCACGTATTACTAGTTGCCTATACATTACTTACTCTCTGTATAATGTATTTAAAATAATTATTGTATTGTCTACACTTCCTTTTTTATATAACTTTGATTTCTATATAGGATCGATTATAAGATTTTTTAAAATTATCTCTTTTATGATGGTAATTATTAATTTATTACCTCATGATAGGAGTCGTCATATATATTTTATCTTATCTCACTGCTTCTTTTCAAATAAGAAATTATTACGTATAATTAATTAGGTATACTGAATGAACGCATTTTTTTGTAAATATGTAGAACTGGAATTAAATTATAAACAGTAATTTTTTGTTTAATAAAAATAAAATTATTGGTAAATGATGGGATGGATATAGAGGGTAGTTCACCAACATTGCAATCGGCTGTTCGGTACACAGGTCGATGCGGAAATTTGTGTATTCTTGTCAAATCTCAAAAATCCAAATGTGGTTTATCCTGGTTTATAAAGCGCATGATTGGATAATAAACATTTTTTCTGATAAATTAACGCAGTTTATTTACTTCTCATTGAATAGTCTGTTGATTTGTACATAATAAACACCATTGTGTGGTTATTATCTAAAAAGCCGACATGAACTCAGAATTAATGTGAATTGTGTAAATTTTGTCCGTATTTTAAAAGTGTAAAGTATGGCGGACGATCATCACAGTAGTGATGATTCCGACATTGAAAACCAAACCGAGTTTTCTGGTGTTTTGAGTAAATGGACGAATTATATTCACGGTTGGCAAGATCGTTATATTGTATTAACGAATGGAACTTTATCATATTATAAAAGTGAACACGAAAGAGGGTATGGATGTAGAGGTGCCTTAACTCTCGCCAAAGCTGTTATCAAGGTAATGTTTTGTTTATGTTTTAGTTTACACATTTTTTATCATGCTTTTTAAATTTTAGCCTCACGAGTTTGATGAATGCAGATTTGACGTAGCTGTAAACGATTGTGTATGGTATTTAAGAGCTGACTCAGTTGATATCAAACAAAGCTGGTTAGAGGCGTTAGAGTCATTTAAGGTAAACTACCTATTATTGCTTAATAGTCTCACTTATTATTTATTTTCTATTTCCTTTAGGTTGAATCAGGCTATGGCACTGGTTCAGAAACTAGCTTAAAGAGGCATGGCTCTTCTGTTAGTTTACAGTCGAACAACCAGAGCACAGCCTCTGGAAGTAGTTTTAAGAGGGGTTCCAGGAATTTACGCGAAAAGGTCGCGGAAATTGATACCTATAAAGATATTCTAACAAGGCAGATAGACACTTTACAAAAGTATTTTGATTATTGTGTTACTCATGATGCGAGGAAAGAATCTCCTAATAAAGGTATAGTTTTATATTTTATGTTAATGGATGAAGAAATACTTTTGATTGTATCCTGATTATTATAGAAAGTTTACCAGTTATTGACTTCAAAGGGGAAGCTATCACATTTAAAACAACCACAGCTGCAGTGATTGACACTTTGCAACATTGTGCAGAGTTGGTTTCACAAAGAGAAGAATCTTGGCGAAAAAGATTGGACAGGGAAAGGGAAAGAAGAAAACATACTGAAATATTAACACAAAAGTACTTTGAACAACTGCAGAAATCAAGAAATATCCATCCAGGACCAGATCTAGAGGTACACATTTTTTTAATATTTTTGAAGTCAGTTTTGACATGGTTTTGGCAAGTTAATTTCAAGATTTGTACTTTTAATGAAATACTGCAACTGAAATAAGAATTTCATATTCAAAATTCCAATGAAAAACAATTAAATCAAAATACATCAAAGTAAGTCAATTAAATTTACTTTCATTTTTACACAGTAGAGTTTTTGTAATAAAAAAAATATTTTAACGGTTTTATTATCATTACATAATACAAAAAAAACTAATTTTTGTCTGTAACTATAAGCATCAACTATCTAAACAATACATCTTCAGTGCCATTAATTAGCCATATTATGTAATAATCATTATTATATAAAGTTAATTACTCAATAGTTACATTCAAATTTTGTATTACAATCTGCAATTGATCTTTTTCAAAGTCAATCCCTACTTTGAATTCTATTTGGACAAATTACTACAGGGTTAAAGAGCTTAATAGTCTAGGTGCTAGCATTGTTATTTATATTTTTAGATTCCTATTATTCATTATATTGGAATGTCTGAAAGAATGACTATAAGGTTAATTAATGTAGATTAATAATTCTTTTCTCCGTAAAGTCCCCTACAGGAAAAGAATTTTTATCTCTGTATAAACTTGAAGTGTTTTCTATACTATAGTCAATAGTCTATCTCCTCATAGGTTATTGTTTGTTATTTAATTCATGTTATGAATTTATACAATAATTAGTTAGGTTAAGTTAGGTTTAAATTAGTTAAATTGGTGTTTTAAAAAATTGTATGAAGGAATTAAAAATATTCTTTTGCTTTTTTACAATTAATATATATTTTCAAGTTTATTATTTAAATAAAAAAGAATGTGTTCATACTTATATTTTCACCAATAGCGATTTTTGTAAATATTGGTTTTAGAAATAAGATTATGAAAGTAATTAATTATGGAAAATCTAGAGTTTTGTCTGAATCGCCACATTTAATTTTCGAAATAGCCAGCAACAAACTATCAAAACTATCAAATTTTGACGTATATAGCTTTTGAAAAATAGAACGCTTTAAGCTAGATTTTCATGCATCCATTGTCCGACGATACGTTGATACGATATTAATTTTATTGGTTGAATTTAAAGGCTTCGATTGGTTAGAAACGGTTAGAAACCGTTTAAAATGGTTAACCGTTTCTAACTAATCGAAGCCTTCAAATTCAACCAATAAAATTAATATCGTATCAACGTATCATCGGACAACGGTAATCTTAATCGCAGAATTCGTGTGGGTTTACATGCAGCGGTAATTGGCATATTTTAAAAATTACAGCTCATATTGAAATATGATTTTGGAGTGATGGAACGAAGGGCGATGCCTTACGGATGCATATAAACTCACTTTAATAGCTGTTTTATCAGTTGAAGAGAAATATTTTTCTGGTTTCCAAAAATATAAGGTTTGATGATATTTTCTTGATTTGAGAGATATAACAATTGTGAAACAAAATATTTTTCATATTTATTTAAGTAGGTATTCAATTTTAAAAGAATACCTGGTTTTAAATTAAGAGTTGAAAATGTTTTGATTTACTAAAGTCTTGATTCTTCTATACATTCTTCGGCCATCACTAAGGAACAAAGATTATCATCATTGTCAATCAATATCATCGTTGCACCGCCTAAGCTCCAAACTTGTTGCAAAAAAATGTTTACAAAGATAGCATACTTGTCAAGTACGCAAATATTATCGTACTTGCCAAGTACACGAGTCGTCAGAATCTGCCTTTAGAATTCTTATCAAATATCGGTTATACCTATCACCAAAAAAAAAAAAAAATATATATATATATATATATATATATATATATATATATATATATTTTTTTTTTTTCTTTTAGTTACCGTGAAAATATCGTTCAGAATGATGAAAAAAAATCTGGTAAAGTTCGAGCTCTTAATATTAATACTAAGAGGTGCCTCATCGTGATTTTCTATTTCCCATTTAAATAACACGGGGAAGCAATTTTTTTGTTTTTGGAATTTTATTGGGTTCTAACAAATCATACATACATACAGCCGTTACTCGCTGACGAGTATTCGACACACATAAAGAAGATGGTCACGCAAGGCGTTTTCTTTCATGAGCTTTTCTGTGACTGAAAAGCCCGATACGTGATGTTATCTGCCTACCGCACTCCGGACATTCAAAAATCTCATTGCTTTGTTGCCTCTTTACTTTTTGGTTATCGCTGTTAACTGAGTTTACAACTCTTCTCCATTGAGTTCGATTGTGAGCTGCCGTTTCCCACTCATTCTGCATGTTAATCCCCTTTAAGTTTTCGTGGAAAATGTCCTAGTACCTTTTCAGTTGCCCACCCGGCCTTCTCTTACCGTCTACAAGCTCACCGTAAAACAGAGATTTTGGTATGCGATTTTCTTGCATTGTGCATACGTGACCAGCCCATCTTAAGCGGGATTTTGTAACCATGACTCCAATACTCTCGCAGTTAGCTTTTTCAAGGACCCATACGTTTGAGACATGATGGAACCACCGGAGTCTTAAGAGTTGTCTAAGGTGTCTCTGTTGCAACTTGTTTAATGCGTTTATGTGTCGGCGATACGGCACCCAGGTTTCACTCCCATATAACATGGTGGGGATTATAATTGCTCGGTACACTGCAAGTTTTGTTTTGGTACTCAAGTCATGATTGTAGAAAACCCTGTCTTTTAATTTCCAGAATGCCCTTGAAGCGCTACTAATCCTGTGCTGAATTTCAGAGTCAATATTGACCTTTTCCGAAATCAAACTGCCAAGGTAATTGAATTCCGCCACATATTCCACTAGTTCTTCTCCGATTTTTATAGCATTGTTGTGATCTTCCAAAATGTGTTCGTTTATACACGTTTCTTGTAATTGTTGTACCGTGTTTGCAACTAGAGCACAGTCGTCAGCGTATTGGAGTTCTGTGATGAATTTTGTTCATGTTTTTGCCCTGAGTCTTTTTTTATGTTGAACAGACCGCCGTCGTATCTGTATCTAATGCCCAATCCTCTCTCCTGCAGTTTGCTGTCCACTATAATGGAGAGCGCTGCCATGAATATGTTGAATAGGAGAGGCGCTAAGACACATCCCTGCCTAACTCCTGTATTTGTTAGGAATGGATCGCTCAGTGATCCATGATGTGACACTCTGGACTTGTTGTTGTTACGGAGGGTTTTACACACAGTAAGAAATTTGTTGGGTACTCCGAACATTTTCATAATTGCCCAAAGCGCATCTCTGTTCACAGAGTCGAAGGATTTTGTTAGATATATGAATGCAACATAAAGTTTAGACTGCTGCTCTTTTACTTTTTCCTGTAGTTGACGGATGGAAAATATGGAATCGACGGTGCCGCGCTTGGTACGAAAACCCGTTTGCGATTCTGGAAGGATTTTTTCTATGTGTGGGTGCAGGCGGTTTGACATAATTTTTGCAAGAATTTTTCCGCCGATAGCCAATAGTGAAATTCCCCGGTAATTTCCGCAGTCTGATGCACTTCCTTTGTTCTTAAATATATTCACTATATTCGCGTTGCGAAAGTCCTGAGGTACCTCTCCGCTTTCCCATACGACATCGAAGAGAGCCTTAAGATGACCAATAAGTTCTTTACTTGCACACTTATAGATTTCCGCCGGAATCGCGTCACAGCCAGCTGATTTGTTGTTTTTAAGCTGTTTTATGGAGGTCTCTATTTCCTGTTCTGTTATTGGGATGTCTAATACATCGAGGCTGTTATACTGAGGTATTGTGTTTAGTGCTTCCATATTGGGGTTGTTTTCTTGGTTAAGGATATGGCTGTAATGCTCTTTCCAGCAATTTCGGATTTGTACTTCCTCTTTTAGAAGTTCGCCATTTTGTGCCATGTTTGGGCAGCTTACCTTCTTGGTTGGACCGTATACTTCTTTTACAGCCTCAAAAAATTTACGATAATCGTGATGGCCACGCATCACGATTATCGTAAATATTTTTATATTTTTGTACTCCTGAATCTGATTCGCTTTTTCTAACCACCAGTTATCCTTTACTTGGCGCAGTTCTCTTCGAAGTGTGTTGTTGGCTGCTTTAAAGTTGTCTACCAGTCTTGGATTATGTGGATTTGCAGTGACTGCTTGGTGTGCTCTATGCTTTTGTTCCAACAAAACCTGTATATGCGGTTGATTTTCGTTAAACCAGTCTGGTTGTTTCTTTTTGTTCGACTTTCCCAGTACTGCTTCGCTGGTTTTATGAATCGCATCCCTTAATTGTGTCCAACCTTGTTCAGCTTCCAAGATTGAGATTGAAATTATCGGTGGAAGTGATTCTTTGATGGCTTCCCGGAGGGCGTCGGCGGTATTGTTGTTCTCTAGACCCCGTACGTTCAATCTGGTCATATTGTTTTGCTTTTTACAGTGTGGATGTTTGGGTTTTAACTGGAGTTTCATTTTTGAAATTAAAAGTACACAAATTTTTACAAATCACTAACAAATCAGTGATTTGTAAAAATCTATACATATTCTTGTAGGAAATTGAACGGTCTTCAAAAAAGGTCTGATATGAATTTTCATTTAATCGACTCGCTTGAAAGGTATTGAAGGCTAAAGTGCAACTCCAAATCGTATATGATAACTTAATTTTTTATATTTTATAACGAAATAATTGCTCAAAAACTTTTGCAGGACTTCCTCGCCCTAATAGGCCACCCTCTATATATTTTTTTTTATTTTATGAAGCGTATACCCACCAAAATTAAATCATAACTCATTAATCATAAAAAATATTATTTGGGTTTGAAATTATACGATTCATATTAAATATTAGCCTATTTGATCTCTTGGTCTATAAAGTACCAGCAACCTGCTGACTGGCGACCTTGGTTGTGGTTTACCAAAAACGGTCGGTACTGCCATCGGTATTTCTACTAGAATGTGTACAAAACGTACCGATAGTACCAAAGGTAGTGCGTGCGTACCGGCCATGTATCGACTTTGAATTAATAACAATTGGC